GGGGGGGAGACTGAGGGGGGCAGTTTTTTGTTGTTATTTTTTAAAAGCCTTTTATGGCTACATAACAGAATCATCAGAGCTCCCAAATGAGAATAGGCTTCATGTAAAAATAAATAGCAATTATTTATAGCCAGTGTTGAAATTTTGATCATTTTAAAAATGAAGTACCACTTCTCATTGAAAGGGACATTACATCTTTAAAGAAAATAATTCCAACCCTTCCCCAAAATTGCTTCTCTTCATGCAAGTCAATTAGTTTTTTTTTCTTCTTGCTCTAAACTGAAGCAAGCTCTTGAAACCTCCCATGCCAATTCCTTACTCCCACCCTGCCCTCCCTTCCCCAAAGTTTATGTGCTACATAAAAGATAAAAACTATATACACAGGTAGTACAATGAAGCAAATAAGGAAAACCTAATTGCACAATGCTACATCCAATGCTTTTAAAGGCAGATCACTTAAGAGTGCCTAAAATTTTAGTGTTATTGTGTCGTTGCTTTTCAGTGCTTATACAGGATGTCCATTCCATGGAGTCAGCGATATGTATTTAAATTTTTTCGTTTATATCTTCCTTGCTTCATCAAGCAGTGCTGTATCTGATAAACAAGGAAACAAACCCTTAATTCTGCAAAAAGAAACAAGAAGAAAGAATTAGGGGGAAACGCTAGAGTAATATTATGAATAAAGTATACGAATTATGTTGTCACTATCTCAGAAATTCCTGAGATGGGGGCAAAAAAGTATGTACTAAAAGTTGACGATCATAGTAATCTACACCCAACACACCCTTAACTGGATTTTTACCCTCCTCTGTGTTGTGTACTTTTGTCTAGAGCAGTGGTTCTTAACAGTGGGCAATTTTACCCCCAGGGGACATATGGCAATGTCTGCAGACAATTTTAGTTGTCACAACTGGGGAGGGGGAGATGCTACTGGCATCCAGTGGGTAGAGGCCAGGGATGTTGCCAAACATTCTAGAATGCACAGGACGGCCCCCACAACAAAGAATTATTCGGCCCAAAATGTCAACAGTGCAGTGGTTCAGAAACTCTGGTCTAGAGAATCTGGGTCAAAAATAATAGGAAAATTAAGAAACTATAACACTTAAGAGTAGCAAAACTTGCTAAATTTGAAAAATAATTGAAAATTTATAAAGGCCCTTCAGATGAAAATTCAATTAATATCTTTTTAAAAAACTGAGGGCAAAACATTCTTTTATTCATAGGCAGAATATACACATATATGCTTTTGAGCAGACCCTTCCTACTTTTTCTAGTATTCTAGTATTTCTAGTTAAACTGGCAATATTGACTAACGAATGCCTCTCTGCATGTCAGAATGTGGTCAGATCAGAATTCAGCAGTTCTGATTCACTGTGGCTCATCTCATGAGCAAGGCCACAAGTCAAAAACCAAGAAGAGCTGTAAATGTTAAGGTTGCTTCAGAAAAATTTTCATCCAATTTTCCACTTCATATATGTAATCTAGAGATTTTACAGTGCTGTTTTGTATAAGCTCTAAAAAATATACATATGTGGAGAAGTCAGATATATAACATAATGATTTAAAAACAACAAAACTGAACCCCACTTTAATCCTTCTGTTAATTTATTTTAAAAGTTTTATAAACGAGGATTTAAAAAGTTAGTATCAACATCTATTATGATCTTTTTATATGCTAGGCTGTAAGTATGCTTTGGGAGGAAAAAAAAAGAGGTCACAGTCCTTGTTTTTAAGAAGCTCGTAAACTATTAGAATACATGTAGTTTGATCATTATGGATAGCCAATCCACGTTAAATTGAGGACTAAATTATTCAAATTACCTATTCACGTTGATCAGATTTTAGTAAATGGAAAAATCTCCACTTCTCTTGTGGCTGGTAGGCTTAGCCTCGGCAAGCCCTGATCTGTACTATCCATTTCCCCTACAAATATCTACATGGTCCTGTTATAGCATGATTAGCATACACATGCTGACGTGTTCCTGGATTGCTTACTCTGGCAGAGTTACTTAACTTCTGCTTTGCAACTTTGGTGTTATCAGAAATTCTACAGAAACTTTAGTATTTCTGAGTTTTCACTAGGGATTTTTAAAAAATATGCAGGTTTCTTCTCTCCCCCAAATTTATCAGAAACAGGATAGTGACAGTCTATGAAGATAAAGATAAAAGAAGACAACATACCACCCTATTCACATTTCTAACCACTTGATTAACCAAATGTGAGCTATTTGTACCTAACTTTTCCCTCAAATTTGAAATCCAAACAATTATCGCACGGCCTAAAAAACTGGGAGCGACTCAACTTGAACCTCTGGAAAATGAATCCTCATGAAGTGGGACCGAGGCTTGCCCCATTTCTTGTTCAGATGGGGAAAGAACCTATTGTTCCCAGCAGGGTTTGGTGGGACTCAAGGAAATAAACTTCCTACTCATGGGGCCCTGGGTACAAGTACTTGCCTAGGACACTTGCTCTGGTTGTGTAGTGTGTTGAGGGAAAACGATCTCAGGATGTAGATTTTGAAAAAATTACAGGATCCCCACAGTGATTCCTCAGGTTTCTCCATTCTTACTTTTTTGACCTCACAAAATATAAGCAAAACAAACACCCACAAGCTCCTAATCTGCCAGCAACCAGTAAGATCAGGTATCTTGGGGTTTTCAGGCCCACGGGATCCTGCAGCCCAGTTCGGGTGTCAGTTGTTTGCTCTTAGAAATCAACCCACCAATTGGTTTACGTTTGACGTCTTCTGAGGCCCGGCTTCTTGGGCGTCTGCTCCACTGAACCGGCATTCGGGGAACCTTCTGAAACATTTTCTTCTGTTCTGTTGGCTCTTTTGTTTTGAGTAGAGGAATCTAAGGACAACGGGAAATTAAAAAAAAAAAAAAAAAAAAAAGCACACACACAATCTTTATTAGAAAAAACAATGGCCCAGAGAAGTTGGCCCCATAGTCAGGGGATGAAAAACCCACTACCTCCACCCACAATCCTGGATCCATCATCACCAATGCCCTTTAAGTGCACAAAATCAGACTGTTTTCACATAACAGAAAGTGTATTCTACCCCCCAAATCTCTCTCTCCATAGCGTAGGAAGAGCTCTTTGATAAACATCTCAACGCTGTCACGTAGCTAAGACTGGAGGAGGACCTGCGATGTTTAAGTTAGGGAAAGTATCAGATATTACCATCTCCGGCTTCTGCTTTAAAACGCATACGTAAACAAGCGCTCAGCAGGTTAACATTCGAAACCTAGCATTAATAAAGTTCGCTCCCAAAAGCTAGATCAGAATACGCTGAAAAGAAAGCTAAGGTTGAGACCCTCAAGCAAGCAAAGCGCTGCCCCAGACAGGCATACATGTGTTTGAAAAGGTCATTACCGTCTGCTGCAGGTCGCTTCCGTACCCCCGCGCACTGCTCCGCTAAGCCCGTCTGGCTGTCTGCTGTGTCAGTCTTTGGGTCTACCAAATGTGTGTCCTCTGAGTTTGCCTGAGACCCTATTAACGGCACTGCCTGGCGGTTCGCGCTGACATCCTGGCTCTCCTGTGTCGGCACCTTGCAGGCGCCTTTGGGTGGCCGCGGGGGTCTGTGGTAAAACTCGGGCAAGCTGCCCTTTTCCATCTCTTGCCACTCGTATTTCCCCTCCAGGGGCTTGTGATTCTGAAAATCAAAATTCCACTTGCGCTGGCTGGCCTCTTCCATGTCTCTGCAGTGCTTCTCCAAGTCCCGAGTCAACTCTTCGTGATTCACCGGGCCGAAGAGGTTTCTGCAGGCGGAGGGTTTAGGGTACTCCGCCTGTCTGGCGTCCATCCGCTCGAGGCTCGGGCTCCCGTTAGACACTCGCACGTTTGACATCTTCCTCTCGAGTCTCTACTACCGCCGCTCTGGCTCTCTCCGAAAACAAAACCGAACAAAACAAAACGCCCCGACCCAACCCAACCCCCTTCCGTAAGCTCTGCGACGGCCCTCGGAGCCAAGAGCAACAAACACCGCCAAGGCACTGGCCGAGCTGCAGGAGCGCGCTGGGTCTGGGGGCGGGCGCCCGGGGAAGCCCCGGAGAGGCAGCCGAAGGGCTCGGCAGATCAAGTGTACCGGCGACTGGAGGGCGGGGAGCGAAGGGGAGGAGCAGCGGGGAAAGCCCGGCCAAGTGCAGGCTGCTACCAGCCCGCGGGGCCCGCCAACCCAGCCGCTCTCCAAACCTTGCCGGCGTCAGAGTCGCGGAGCCGAGAGAAAGTGGGGAGAGGGGAAGGGGAGAGAAACACCCCGAAAAGGCGAGCCCCCTTTTTTGAGTTGCCCAATATGGCGGTGGAAGAGAGGCTGACGAAGAAGAAAATGATTGACACCGCAAGTCTATTTAAACAGAGGAGGAGATCCATTGGTCGCGGCGCCGGGAGCCGCCCAGCCGAGGCTGGCGAGCGCGGCCTTAAGGTGGCCCCGGCGCGGTTCCGACGCCCAGCCGCTTGACTGAGCGCGCCGACTCCGAGAGCGCAACGAGGAGATTGGCTGGTCGCGTGATTGCCGGAGGTGTGCTCCTGCCAACAAACCTGCTCTGGCTGGCCCCGGAGAAATTAAAAATAAGACAAACAAACTAGCCAAACGGCCGGGAAGCTGGGGAGGGGCCTCTACGGCGGGGCAGGCGGGGCTTTGGGTCCTGGTCCCGGCGCTGCGCTGTCTGGCGTGCCCGCTCCTAAGCCCCGACCTCCAGCCCCTGGCCTGTGAAACGAAGGGGCTGGACCCCAGGATCTGGAATGGTGCTTGCATCTCAGTGTTTTCTCCGCACTCGCCGAGCCCGGGGCGCGGGGGAGTGGAGGGCGGAGGCCGATGGTGGGAGCTCAGGCTTCTCCTGGGCGCGCACCAGTGGCCCCCACCTCGTGCCCTGCGGAGGAGGTCAGGAAACCTTTGCTGAGAGCCGGGATCACCCCCCGCCCCCGACGCCTGAGTACCACAGAGGGGTGGGCAACGGTTAGCTCAGCCTTAACCCAGAAGTTTCAGCCATCCTAAGGGCAACAGGAGGTTTAGGGAAAAGCCAGAACTAACTTCTTTCTATAAAGCAGCCGATCGCAGCCTTTATACTGTGTTCTGAATCCAAGCTCTCCCGCATTCGAAAAGAAGGGATCTCAAGATCAAAAAGCCCGACTGCTCTCCCGAGTCCCTTAAACTTTGTAGCCGTTTCAGATACATTTAGTTTTGAAAAGCGAGGTTACACCCTTGGCCCAGGTTCTTGCTTCCCCAGTACACTTGAGGCCACCGACACTGACTGCGTGTGGGAACTCGCCTCCTTCTCTTCATACTTCTCAATTTTTTCACTGGTAGTAGTAGTTTCCTCTACCTGAGTCCAGTCGCCAAATACAACAGCTCCTTCCTTCCTGCACCTTTCTGTCCCCCTGGCTTCCTGCTCCAAGCCACCCAGAATTACGTCCGGATGACAACCTGCTGCGTTTAGAGGACTGCAAGCTGTTGAAAGGGGAAAATATTCCCCATAAGGATCAAAGTCTGTGTTCTGAAGTGATTTATGAAACCACCAGAACCATGTCCTCATGCCTGACGTGATCAGTGCGTTTCTCCCCTTGGCAAATTGAAACGTTTATCAAATCAGTTTGGTCTTCAGCAAGGTGGTGGAAGTTAAAACAGGGTGGGCAGGGTTGTCATAGCTCAGTGGGTCTTTAACTGCCTCCCCAGTCCCACTCCCAATACACGTAATCTTCTTTGGACCAAAGTTAATAAATTTTACTGGAAATTAACCTCCGGTTCTAACAGAGGGTCGCTATGAATAGGAATCGACTGACTCTGGTGGGTTTTTTGGTTTGGTTCTAATATGACACAGCAACAACGTTTTCTCATGCATCTATGCTGTGGATGAGTTTGATTTTTAACTTGCTTTCATAGCCACATCTTATTTGTTCACTGTATACACTCTGGAATGTTAGAGTGGGGAGGGGCCTTGGGGACCCTGTGGTCCAACCTTCTCTTTTCACCACTGAGAAAATTGAGGCTCAGAGAAGTTTCCTGTCCAGGGACACACATCCAGTTGGTAGCAGAGCCAGGACTAGACACAGGTCTCCTATCTTACAATCTGGTTCATTTTCTGTTCCTTTCCTTCCTCATGGTCCCAACTGGTTCAAGTTTCTGTCCGGATTCACTTGTGCTATAGTCCGCACATCCTCCTTTCCTACTCGTGGTTCAAAACGGCTCCTTCCCGGGCCTGGACTGCTTGCAGCTGTGTCCTTGATGTGGCCTGTGGTCGCTGATATTTAAATGTTGCCATCACTGGCCTTTGGTATCACTATCAACTAGTTCAACTAAAATGCAGATTCCAAAAGGAGAGAGGTGGTAGCCAGAGAACAGTGAGGGATACAGTGTCCAGAGTGGTTTCAGAGTCAGAGCTTTCCTACCTGGCTGACCGAAAAGAGTTCGCCTGGGATCACAGCGGGAGGTCTCATCCTTTTAAATTGTCTACATTTAATGCCCCACTTAATTTGTTAGGTTAGGAAGGGGCGCAGGAAAGTTAGGGAAGGGCTCATGACCTTAATTTATATCCTAGCCCTGAAATTAGGTAATGTTTGCCCAAATTTTTAAATAATTGCTAGACTACATAGGAATTCTATATTGTGTATGCATATATGCGAATAGTACAGAAACTATTACATATATGAATATGGAGAAAGTCTAGAGGACTAGCTTGCCACAGAAGTTTGATTTTATTCATGGGATTAACATCTTACATAAAAGTAGAACATGAAGACTTCTTTCCCCTACACACTCTGACTCTTCAATTACTATGTAGCAGCACCATTTTGCTGCTTTGTTACTCTTGAGAAATAAACAAGCCAGGGTGAAGCCACCTTAAGAAGTCTGGCTGCAAGCAGAAAGGCTGTGCTTACATGACCTTGCTATGATCTAAAGTGTTTTGTTTACAGTCAAGGCACCGGAGATCTGTACAGCAAATAATGAGAAGGCAGGCGTCTGCTGTAGTATCAGCGAAGCGTGAAAAAAATACTATGGAGTCCCCAGGGGAAGAGGGAATGTGGAGATCAGAGCGCCATCCTCCTGCAGAAAGTGGGTGGCTGCAAAAAAGTAAGCCAGGCAGAAATTTTTCAGATAAACAGTGCAAAGGCGGAGCCTGAGTAAAAAGACAGAGCGTTCTACTCACACTGGTCTGAAATGGGCTCTGCTTCCCCAAGCCCCAGAAGGTAGTACTCTGTGGTGTTTCTGTTGTTGTTTTCACTTCTGGTGGTTTCCTAGTTAGAGCTGAGAAGTGCCACATAGTCCACCCCAGATGTCTGTGTCTTTCACATTCTGAGGAGAGAGGCAAAGACCAAAATAACTTAAAACACCTGTGTAGCAGACAAGTGACGAAAGGAGGTGGCAGGGTCTGTATTAGCCCTGCTTCCAGATGGAACCCTCTCACCAGGAAGTTATGCAGCCCCGCTGTTTCTCGGATGGCGCGGGTTTCCTTGCCCACTTGCTTCCTCCACCACAAATACACAATTTTAATCCTTCCTCAAGGTTGTTTCACTCAACTTCACCATTCTCCTCACCTGCCATATTTTTAAAGAATTTGGAAATTTCACAGTCATCTATTTCTTAAATCTTTTAAATATTTATGGAACACTTTCTATTAATTTGCTCATTCTTTCTCTCAACAAATATTTTTTGAATGCCTACTCTGCCAGGCATTATCCTAGGCTCTGGGGATACAGAAGTGAACAAATAGATAAAAACTAGAATGTAGCTTATGTCCTAGTGTGGGGAGAGAAGACAGAAAATAAATGCAAAAAATGAGTAAAATATGCACTAGGAAGCAGGTGATGAGTTCTGTAGAGAAACACTGATCGAGGGAAAGGGAAAGCCAGGTGTGTGAGGGTCCCGGTGTGAAGAGTGGTCAGGGAAGGCCTCACCCGGAAAGCGGCCTTTGAGAGAGCCTTGAAAGACAGGAGAAAGTAAGCCATGCAGACATCTGGGGAAAGAATGTCCCAATAAAGGGAATAGCAAATGCCAAGGCTCTGAGGTGGCTCTTGCCTGGTGTGTTCAAGGAACAATAAGGAGGCCCATGTAGAGGAGAGGGCTGAGCAAGGGGAGAGTGGTAACAGGAGCAACAGATCACATAGGACCATGTAGGCCTCTACAGAGGCTTTATAATTCACTCAGTGATATGGGAAGTCATTGACACATTAGGAGGTTTTAGGCATTGGAATGATGTGATCTTACCATGTGTAAACTGTCTTCCGTGACATTATTCTGAGGAGTGAAGAGATTACCAAGTCATAATCCCTGCATTTAGGGAATGTACACCCTAGCTGAGGAGACCACCATGTGCACAAAAACTACAGAGGTAGAAAGTAGTAAATGAAAGACCATGGTGCTGTGGAGTACAAATGAGGGAGAAAGAAGAAGCCTTCTTGGAGAAGATGATGGATGAGTCAGATCTTGAAGAATGAGAAGACTGTCAAGAAGATTATAAGGGTTTTTGTGATCTGAGGTCATTGTGGGACTCAGGTGAGGCTGGATTGAAGTCATCACCAGGTGGATGATCCTAGAAGTGGGAGGGAACATTGGACTCCTCCACAGCAGTTCTTCTGCAAAATGCCTGGGTGCGGACACTGAGCACACCGGGCCTCCATGGGCCTCCTGCTGGGGGACAAGTCTCTCAAAATCCCAGAATACCAGAGCTAGAAGAGACCTGACAGATCATTCATCAGTGGCTGTCAGGCTGTTCCATGGAATTCATGCCATAGTTGAGGCTGTGCTGTCTGCTTCAGGGATGCAGAGCCTGGCTGTGCGTCGGGACCCAGGCCCCTCTGATGTCTCCTAAGTGAAAAACAAGGGATATTTATAAATACAGTTATAAGTTTGTGATTCAAAAAAAAGACTATGATAATTATAAGGGTGTGTTGGTTGGGGCAGTGATGGGGGGATGGCCATGGATGACATTATTCTAAAAAAATCTGTCTTTTATTTAAAAAGCAATGGGATACTGAGCTTTTGGTGAAGAGAGTGACATGAAGACTGTCTAAACTTCTAGGGTTTGGATTCATGAGATGGGATGGTCTGCAGAAGGTGGGGCTGAGGGTGACTGAGAGACAGTGTCTAGGGACAGAGCTAAGTGAAAAGCTGGACAGAGGGTCTCATTATGGTGTTAATCCAAAGGGTCCTGAGAGAGATGGGCAGAGTACGGTTGTGAGGCAAGAGGGTAGAAATACAGGCCATAACACCAGGATGAGAAGGTTGGAACTGAGACAAGGAGGCAGTCTGGTGAAATCTCCTGAG